TTTTTAAGAGCAGTCCACAGACAGCATTCCTTGCAACTGCATGCATTGAACTGCTGAGTAATCCCCTCAGTGACATAAACCATGTGAGTCTTTGACTTAACATTATCACGTCTACGATCACCAATAGCTGTGTGGCTTCTGTTCCACTATGGTAATATTTATGATGATCCCTTTAATTCTCACTCAAGTGAAAGATGCCTTCCCCATCAAACATGTCAGTAGAGAAGGATATGCAAAATGTTAGTGTCCAAGTAACTACAAAACGGTAAATACCACTTAACTTTCACTTAAAAAAAAAAAACAAAAAAAACCCTAAACTAAACTCAGAAACCCCACACTGAGAACTTTAGGCGTTCTACAGTGAAATTTTTAAATATAAAAATTTACCTCATTGTACTGATTGACTTTCCATGACTGGCTTTGTAAGGTGTAAGAAAATTATCAAAACTAGGGAAAACATTCTGAAATTGGAGTAAGAACAGATTAAATGATTTAGAATCATTTAATTTTATGCTTAAAGGTGGGCCTCAGAATCAAGCCCTATGGTGGGCGAAACTGCAACTCTAATCAAAATAGCTGTTCCTTAGAAAAACTAGAATACATTTTCGAGAGCCTAACAAGATTTAAAAATCTTAATAATCTGTGTTTAACAAGATTTTTAAAAAATCTTTTATTTCCATGATAATTCTTAAGCAATATAAGAATATTAAGTATCATTTTAATGACAATATCAAAAAGCATAATGTCTCAATATTTTAGTGCCAACATGTATGTTTATATTTACAATTCTGTTCTCCTCCAAATAATCACTTAAGCAACAGCATTTAAATATGATTGCACTGTTTCCGAAAAAATAGGCACATGTGGGGAGTGACCTGTAGAAGCTCTGGATTTCCTTTTTCCTTTTAAAAGGCACCAACCATATTATTCAGTATTGAAGACACTGCTGCAAAATATTTGATTTCCTGATTGCTAAGTGGGTGACTTTGGATGATTTTCTCAAACTTGTAAAAACTTACTATTCCCATTTATAAAGTAGTAGTAATAATGATCTTACAGACTGACATTTAATCAAACACCACGATTTAAAGTATTTAGCTTGTAGTCTCACATAGGAGGTATGCAATGAACTCGATTTACCCTTTGCCTTCCTCTAAATTCTGCCTTTATATCCCTTCTTGAGGCCACCAGCCATATGCATTCCGTATATAATTAAGTAAACCAAATAATGGATATCTTTTGTTATTAATAAAATAAATGCAAAATTATTAATATATAAAATGACTTGAGTCTAAATCATATCAGGAAAAAAAAACATATCTAAAGTAGATAATAAGGAAGGATGGAATATTTAGGGCAAAGTTACCCTCTGAGGACAGTTTCTTGGTTTGACTGGGAGAGGGGACACAGTAACCCTTTTCTATCCTGGCAGATGAGCCCTCCGATTCTATCACCTGCAGGCAAAGCACCAACCAGGAAGGGTCCTATCGTTAAAGGTATATAAAACTATCCAGGGTACTTCAGGCACAGTGTGTAATAAGTTTAAGGTAAGTCCTGGGTGACCTTTCACCAAAGGGCGACAGCTTTTTCCAACTTCACCTTCTCTTTTGCCCAATAATGTTCTCTCTCAAAGTGTTGGTACAGACCAGAAATTGTGTTGTCATCTCATTTTTTTTGCGCTTTCCATGCTATATCTTATGGCTCTGCCTACCTCTTTTTTTCTCCTGGAAGACTGAATGTTGCTAAGTTTCCCAAATACTTAATGTAGAGACAGGGAGTGGCCTGATATGAAGAATCCAAATAACACAAACTGACATTCGTTTATTCAACGAGTAATTATTGAATCTATAAATCTGCAGGATCATTTTGAGGATTAAATGGCTGAACAGTTAGAATGCCTAGTATAGTGCCTGGAGCACATAGCATAGATCCTTAATTATAAGATGCTTAGTCTAATTTACCTTCATTCAATTAGTGAAGCCTTTATAAATCTCTATAGTAATTTAGTATATTATTTCGATCTTTCTTAGCTACCCAACATATAACATGGTGAGAATTAGTAGATGTTGGAGTGATAGGGAAAACAGCTAGTAGGGTTCAAATCCCTAACAGAAACAGATGAGACAGAAAGGTACTGGATTTAGGCAGATACAATCTAAGTTGAGATAAAGTCTTAATCCTGAAAGACAAGAGAGTGGAGATAAATGCCAAAATTGTATCCATATTGTAAATAGGAAGGCTAAAAAAAAACCTGAAATCATCTTATAGAGAATGTCCAGATCCTCTTAAAAGACTATCTAGAGGTGGGCCAGATACTGGCATGGAAGAGTCTGGAAGAGAGGCAGCTCATGTGCAATAAACAGATAAAGAGGGATGGATCATGCGAGTGATAACCCGTTTGAAAAGTCTGAACAAGAAGACAGAGGAAAATCCAGTTGCATAATCCCAGGTGACAACATCCAGGCAGGGTCTGTGCTCTGTAGGCTGAATGTCTGTGAAGAGCACTCTGGAGCATGGAGAGTACCCAGTGTAAAGATTTATTGTAAACAGATTGCCCAAACTGATCTGTATCGTTACATGAGCCCGAATGGCTAATGTTGGCTGCTTCTTGTCTTTCGTCTCCTTTAATATCATCTCCTCAGGGTCCTCAGTGTCAATAGACATGTATTATTTGAGTATAAAATCCCAGGGCAAGATTAAATTCTGGAAGAATCAGATAAAATGTGAGACCAAACATGTGTGCTTATGTGAGTACTTTGTCTCATCTGGGTGACTCTGCAGACACTTACACCCAGTTGGGTTCTCCATGTGAGGCAGAGGATGAGGTATGAAGATGATGTATTAAACTTACTTTTTAAAAACAATCCTGGCATTTCTTTTTTCTGTAACCAAAGATGTTCAATATCCACAACAGTGAAGGTGATGCAATCAATTCAGTTATATTTGCTCCTCAAAAAGATTTCAAAATTTCTTGTGAGCCACTCTTTGGACCAAATATATATCTATATATTTTTTAAATGTTTTAAGTTTATTTTTAAACAACAACAAAAAATGTTATCGTTCAGTTGAACCACTCCACCTTTTCACCAGGAGTCACTCTGACTGATGTTCAGCAGTTTCCAAAAGTCAAATCCACCTTCAGATGGAAATGATTTCTACCACTTGGTGACATTCAGTATATGATGAGCTGGGAAAACATTCTGAACAATTTTCAAAGGTGAGTTATAGAAGATGTGACTCTAAGTCAGTGCAAAAACGTTTATTGTGCCTATGGAAATAGTCAATTTATATGTAATTTCATAGACTCATTTTGTACATCTTTCGTTTCCTTCTTTATTATAGACATCTTGAATGTTTTACATGCCACGGGACAGATGTGATTCTATATAAAACAAGAACATGTCAATAGAGCGAAACAGTATTAACACAGTTACCTTGGTAAGTCAGAAGTGTCCACATGTCTATTTGGATAATAATTGCAATATGTTGCTTTTGTTAATATGTTAGTATTTACACAACTTCTTCCATGGACATTATACCATTTGATCCTCAAAAGCAGTTTAGGATATAAGGTATTTTCTATCCCTGCTTTAAAGATGAAGGTTGAACTCAGGGAGTTTAAGTGATTTGCACAAGTTACATAGTAAAGGGGAAGAGTTTTGGCTTAAATTCATTTCATGAAAGATTGCTTTCCATTTTACTATGTGAGGCTCTAAAAGATTCATCTGCCATAAAAATGAACACTAGCATAAAAGACCAAGTCTGAAAATTCAGCGGTGAAGAAATCTAGGGAATACCAGATACCAGAGTAATTTGGTTATATGTATTTTAGCTTTGTGTGAGGGAGTGTGTGTGTGAGTATGTGTCCCTGTGTTTATTGGATAGGGGATATTATTAAGTTAGATTAAAGATACTAAAAGTATTCTTAGTTTTGTGATATACAAGCCTTTAGAAATGACATAGGAAAAAATAAAATAACATGCCCTTTAAGGATGCTGTTACTGAGCCAAATATGGTTAGGAATTTGAAAATATATATTGGTTAAACTGTCATCATTCTCCATAAATCTCTGTGTATTGATGCTTCTCTCCCTGGCTGTTTTCATACTGTTTGCTCACCTTTTTTTTTTTTTGCTGATCTACAGTCTATTTCTCTTTAAAAGACTGTAGTTTAAGGTTTAGTTCTTTCAAGAACTTTTCACTTTTCAAAGCACACACACTGAGCTTTTCTTATCTTAACTCTAATGGCTTAATATTTCATGGATTTGTGCTTCATTATTCTTCAAGTATGTCTCATCCATTAATTTTCTTTCATTTAGGAAGCAATTATTGAGTGACCACCACGTGGATTTAGATACAAATCCTTGGCCTCCACTGGATAACAAAATGCTTAAAGTAAAAAAAATAAATAAATAAGAAAGAAAAAATTGCATTTGTGTCCATAGTACCAATAGAAAGCTTATCACAAATTAGCTAACATAACTGTTGCTTAATTGATTATAATGGTCTGTCCAGTACCTTTATTAAATTAATAAAATATTAGCAAACTCATATCAGAAGAAATCGTTTAATGACTAGTTGTAATTGAGTTGTAATTGTAAAAGTAACTATAAAACAATAAAGATATCTAAGGGAATCTAAGAGAGTTTGTTCACATTAGGTTAATGTGTCTCCTAGGATAAAACATTGTCACACAACACATTTGTTCATCAGTTCCCCCCACCAACCCTATTTTTTTTTTTTTTTTGGTTCATAGATCAAGCATTTTAGTTCAGTTCCTGTTTAGATTATCAATTATATATGTAGGTATAAATTTAACATGGCATTGTGTGTCTGAGAGCATGTGTATGTGAGTGTCTGTAAATTTAACAAAACAAATCTCCCTGGGAAACGTCCATAAGGGGAGATAAAGAGCATATGAACTTTTTTTGCCAAGTCATGTGAGGATATTTTAGTAGACAATCACGGTATTTTATTGTCCAAAATCTTTTCACATGTAAACATCAAGAACTCAGAACAGATTTTAAAAATGCTTTGACATAGTGATTTGCCTTATCTCCTACGAAAAGACTGCCATGCTTTAGACATTGAAAAATCAAGAGAATAATTCTAATCACTGGTTGCCTGGGTGCTCTGGATACATGGCAGAGAAGAGGAATGATAAAATAACATGTGGTTATAAGATTCCACTGGGATAGAAAGTGCCGAAGTACATCTTCAAATCCATTTGCATTTAAAGAAGCACACTCTAAAATAAATTTCCCTTCAAACATCGTTAAGCCCGAATTTATTTTATAAAACTCCCATGGGACATTTTCCTGGTGGCAATGGAATGCACCTCCTTGCTCTAACGTTCAAGCCAATTTCTCTAGGAAGTTGTACCAAAATACCTATCAAAATTACTTAGAGGTGTAAAAATATTATGTTACCTGCTTCTAATTCCAAGAGCCCAAGTTATATTTTATTTAAAATTTCTTACCAAAATATTCAGTCAAGAGAAAAATATAATAATTTGTTAAAACTATCACCAAAGTTTACAGACAGAAAGAGTTTAAAATGGATCCACATGAGAATTGCAAATGTTTCTGTTTGTTGATATTCCCAAGGTCTGAGATTCTAGAGCACCCACGTTTGTATGAAAAATACATAATTCAAATGCCATACATTGGCCTGGGTTTTGATGTTTGAGAAAAGAAAACAATAAGATTTCTCGGCTAAAAAGTATATTCAAAATTTATTCTCCCTTTTTTTTTTTTTTTTAATTTTAGAGACAGGGAAAATAAGGCCCAGAGATGTTCATTTATTCACACAGCAAATAGGGTCCAAGTTCAAATCTCCTGCCTGCTTAAAAAATGAAAATTAGAAATAACTATAAATACAATTAAGTCCAGCCCATATTAATTGAGTTTTTATTATGGCCCTGGCACTTGGTTAAGCATTATCCGTGTCTTGCTTTACTTAATCGCCAAAATACCCCTATGAGGTATGTATTATTATCACCTCCTTTATCGAAGTCAGAAAACTGAGGTTCAGAAAGGTTAAGTCACTTGTCTCAAACAACATAGCTAGTATATAGCAGAGCAGAGAGTTTAGCCACTTATCTGATGCCAAAGCCCAGGTTCATAATTCTTTTTTTTGAAATGACTCATTTCCACTTCTTTGCATTGGCCAGAATTCCCTGCTTTAGGTCTAAACAAAATTCTTGAATCTCTGTTCCTTTCAACAGTCTTCTACACGATTCGAATCAATTATCATTGAATGCTTGAGACTTGAGGTTTTGATTTTCCAGGCTAAAACAAAACAAAACAACCCCCTCCCCACCCAAAAAAATCCTTAAGCCTTACAGTACTTACATATGTGACATTATTTCAATTTGTGTCATTATACTGCTCACTCTCCCCTTCACAGCCATGACTTTATCTAGGCTCCACTGAAAATGAGGAGCTCAAGAAACCCACTACTCCATATTTTTTCTTTCTAGCAAAGAGTAGAAACACACAAGCATGTTTATTTTTCTGTTTTTGCCTGATGATTTTAGTATATTTTTCTGTGACATTCACTTCATAGGATTAATTATAATAAAACATTGCATTGATAGATGAATTAATATTTTAAAAGCATATTGATCCATGTTTTCCTGTTGGCATTATTACAGCAGTCATAAGGGAGAGAAAGGAAAGGTGATGTAAGCATAGACATTTTCCCCCATCCATTCAATAAATATTTATATAGCATATACTATGTGAGAAGTGATGAGCTAAGCACTAGAGATAGGATGATGAACAAGATGTCTGCTTTCTCCATAGGAGGCTTATATTCTTGTAGGGGAAAACAGACAAGAAAATAAAGAGGAATTGTTAAAGTATTATCAGTTTCATAATAGAGTCTGTATATATTTTTTGTGGGGACACAAGAGAGGATTATTCTACGTTTAGATAATCCAATTAAAAAAGGGCAATACTATTTTTGCTGACTCTTAAAAGATGGGTTGCTGACTAGGAAGCCAAGGTAGTGGAGTTAGGGAAAAAGAAAAAGCCTTGAGTCTCAGAGAAGCAGAGATATCTGTCCTAATTTGCATAATGAACTAGCAGTAGAATTAAAATCGGAGTCCACTGTGGACTCACTCAGAGCCTCTTCCAGACCCCGAAGGCTGTCACTGTATCTCTTTTTTTTTTAATCTATTGATTTTTAATTAATTTATTTTAAATTCTTTAATGTCACTCCATATTTGACTCCTTTTACGCCATCTATCTCCCCTTTCCCCACTCTCCCCACCCTCTGGTAACCACTAGTCTGTTGTCCAGGTCCATGAGTCTCTGTTTGTTTGTCCTATTCATCGGTTGCTTTTAGGTTTATATCCTACATATTAATGATATCATGTGATTTTCAACTTTGTCTGGCTTATTTCGCTTGGCATGATTATCTCCAGGTTCATCCATGTTGTTGCAAATGACAGTATTTCATCTCTTCTTACGGCTGAGTAATATGTTATTGTATATATGTACCACAGCTTCTTTAGCCAATCATCTATTGTAGTACACTTCGATTGCTTCCATGGCCTGGCCATGAATAATGCTGCTATAAACATCGGTGTGCAAATATCTTTTTGGATATTAATATTCAAGTCTTTGTGGTAAGTACCCAGTAGAAGGATTGCTGAATCATATGGTAGATCAATTCTTATATTTGCAAACAATGCCTCCGATAAAAGCCTGTTGGAGAGGATGCGGAGAAAAAGGAACCTTCATACACTGCTGGTGGGACTGCAAATCGGTACAGCCGCTATGGAAAACAGCATAGAGGTCTCTACATCCTTTTGACACACACTCTTATGCTAGGTCTCACCAGGCAGTTCTTGGACCTTTCTGGGCTTCATTTCAGTATTGGAGCTCCCTGGAATCAACACGTTACCCCACAGCACGTGGAAATCCTGCCAGGTGGTAGGAAAGAATCAGACTTCCCAGGAGGGAAACCGGTACCTACTTCATCCAGACTCAAATCAGCTCTTCTAAAATTTTATATGGGGCTCTGAGAAGGCTGATATTAGGCAAATATCTAAACCAGCCTAGAAGAATCTGCTTGGGCACCACTAGACGGTTCTGGGGAGACCTGTGATACAGGGCATCTTGAAATGATGCTGTATCTGAATCTTTCAAAGGATCATTTCAGGAAATTGAAGTAGGGGTACAGCAGGTGCATGTGGACCGGGTAGGGTGAAAAAGGAAATGAATGCAGAGTGAGCACCTACTGATATTCATTGAATCAGAAGCTAATTAAGGAGATATCCAATCTTAGCTAAGTTGTAAAACATATCTGCAAGTTCTTTGACATTCCTCCCACAAAAAGAGAGACCTAATTCCCTATCCCATGAATTTGCATCAACCTTAAATGACTCACTTCTAATGAATAAGATGCTATATAAATTCTACAGTTTCCAAC